GGGTAATTGGAAGGTACCACAAAGATTTCCTTGGAACATCTTTCTGCCTTATAGCAGACATATTCCTTGGCTCATAACGAGATTCTCCACATACTGGACAAGTAATTAAATTCTTACTTTGCTCATCATATATAAGAAACAATCATTGACACAAATATCAATTTTCTTGTACCCAAGTCCAAGCACATTTATCATTTTTTTTACACTGTAGAAATCCTTTGGCACCTTTTCTTGGTCCTCTGGACTCAACAACTTTCGACTCAATGACAATGCCATTTGCCAATTAGCAGCACTCATATTATAAAGAGTTTTCATGTTTAGCATTTCTACCATCCATGAAAGTACTGTAACATCCTGTCCCCCAGCACCTATATGGACTTCTGCAGCATGCAAGAGATTATAAAATTCTCTTGCCTTACTATTTGGCTCCTCAGCCATTGGCCCGTCATTGTATTCAGACTGTACACCCATTGCATCAACTACCATTTCATGGTATAATGCATCTACTTCATTTCTAACAAACTCCATATTAGAAGATTCCCCTTCAAAGTTTCTTACTGTATTACTAGATGTCTCTCCATGAACATACCATGCATAATAGTTATTCATAAACCCATGCTTACACAAATGCACAGAGACGACCTCAGGATTCCCCCATTTTCTACATTTACATTTCGAACAAGGACACTTAATCTCTGATTTTGCTCTCGGTCTTGAAAATGCAAATCTCACAAAAAATTGCACTCCCTCTTTAAATTCATCAGTAACAGAACCACTATCATCCACACGACGATCTATCCAACTACGGTCATCCATCATTTAATTACCTAATTTGAATTTCAATTTAACAAAATATATTATCATATCAACTAATAACCATACATGTCAATAACCATATATGTTAATCTTAATCTTAATAATTTTAAATTAAATTTCTTTATGTATATGAATTCAATATATAAAAATACTATTATATTTCAACAATCATACATATATTAATCTTAATATTAATAATTTAGTAACTTTATAAATATATATTAAATATAAATAGTACTATAA